TGTGTGTGTGGAGTGTGTGTGTGTGGTGTGTGTGGTGGTGTGTGTGTGTTGGTGTGTGTGTGTGGTGTGTGTGTGTGTGGTGTGTGTGTGAGAGTGTGTGTGTGTATGGCGTGTGTGTGTGTGTGGCTATGGCTTAGGAAGACTGTGGCTACCAATTTTACTCTATTTTTAAGGCACATTTGAAATAAATCTGTGTTTTCTGTTACAAGCAAAGTTATCTACTAAATCTTCTTGCTAATTGTGCTAGTAACTCTTCCATATCTAAATTTATTTTGTGTTTCTTTTTAAAAATTGTTTGTTTTTAAATTACTTTATTTCTTATTTATTCTTTTAGTGGAGATACTGGGGGTGGAAACCAGGACCTCACACATGCTTGACATGCACTCTGCCACTGAGCTAGACCCTCCCCCCTGTTTGTGTTTCTTTGTCAAATTCCTGTTATGTTGCTGAGTTTCACCCATTTCATGTGAGTGTAGCTGGAGGGCCATCATTTTAATTGCCTTGTAACAGTCCACCTGGATCGCCCTGTGCTTTGTCTTATCCATCCCCTTGTCAATTGTCTCCGGCTATTTGCTGTTATCGATAACATCAGGAGTGTTCTTACACCAACGCTGTATTTAGGTTTTACAGGCATTTTTATTCACTCACCATCCCTTCTTGCATCTGAACGTCTCCTGCTGAAATCATTTTTCTTTTTTCTTGAAGTGTGTCCTGTAGGGGTTCATCCCTTAGTGATCATCCATTGTTCTTTGTATTTGTCTATAAATAAGGCAAGTCTCTCTTAAAAGGTAGAGTTGCTGGGAGACTGACTGTGGGTTGACACTGATTTTTGCTCAACCCTCGGAAGTCTCACCCTTCCCTCTCCTGCTTTCCTGCTGTGGCTGCTGAGAAGCTGGCCGTCAGCCTGGCTGTTCTTTTCTGAAGGTCATTTTTCCTCTGTGGATTCTCCTCTTGTCTTTACCCCTGGAGCACAGGGTGTGTGTCGCCAGCAGGAAACATGTCTCCGTCTTGGCCTTTAATTCCCCCTTCATGTCCTCCTTGCCCTCCCCTCCTCCTGTTTCCCAAAGGCCATGCCTTCTTGGGTAGGCTGAGCAGAGTTTCCTGAAGCTGCATCAGGTTACCTGTAGGAAATAATTTTCAGATATAGCCTTTTCCTCTGCGTGTGATTTTCTCAGGTCAGGATGAGCAGGGGAGAAATTCCAGGCAAAGGAGAAGACAGAAGTAAGTCCAGGAGAGAGAGTCAGTGCACTGGGGTGCGGCTGGAAGGGCATGGCGGGGGAGGGGACCAGGGGCCAGCACTGCATGCTGTGGTCTGGACGTGACATCTGCTAGACCAGTGCCGAGGTCCGGGGCTGGGCCGGTAATGAGAGCTCAGAGA